TGAATATGAGTTAGGCAAAAGTATTTGCAGAATTTATTGCGGAATGTTATTTTTCTCTCACTTTATCCACTTTTGGTTTGCTCCTTCTTTTCCTTCTTATCTGCTTATAATCGGATTTTCTGGCCTGTTCGTAGTAATACATTGACTTGCTGAGCCAATGAGGTAAAAATTATATTCCATACAATACGATACAATACAATAATACAAAAAAATGTCCTTACCTTGATAGCGTGCCTGTGCCTAACTGTTGCTGACGGCCGAATGCATGCCTGCCTGTGGTGCACATTACATAACTTTACAGTCTCATATAATACGCATCCTGTCCGATGGCAAAAGAGGCTGCAGATTAGTTTTTCTGCGCGTTATCAGCAATGACTACTGGTCTTCAGCAACTTGGGTCTCCTGTAATACGCATCCTGTCTATGCTTTCGTAATGCTAACATAATGCTCAGCATAGCACTCGCTACTGATATATTAAGTAGTCGTTGATTGCTCCCATAATTTCATCGTACTGTTGTACGACATGCTGACATCCTTCTACCGTACAACACCGTATTCGTGTCTGGCGCTGTCGCGTTCATCTCTGGCGCGGGTGTAATCTAGTGACTTCATACATGCGTAATAACAAGAGTACCAATCCCTTTGTCTGGGTTCGTAAAAAGGGCAGAGCGTGCAAGTAACATTTAGCTCGTGTTAAGTGCATGGTTTGTACTTAGTTGGTATGTGGCAGCTTATGGGACAGAGAGACTTTTGCTTCCCGATCGGCGGAGCTTGTGTATGTAAATGGGGACAGCTAGTACGGGATAGCGCCAGACGGAGGTCCGTCTGCCAGACTGCCACAAACCCACACATTGATGGTACGGGACAGGTACTGGATAGCGCCAGGCATGCCAACGGCACAAACAAACACACACCTTGCTGACAGGGGAGTTTCATTATCCCTTTTAGCAAAATACGTCAAATTATCACACTATACCCATACTAGACTTGCTCTCAGAACGTGTGCAGTGATGAGCAAATCTGTGACATTATTACGATCAAGGGCACTAGTACTCGTACCTCTTTGCTGCATATAAACAGGGAAACGTCAAGTGAATCATAAAATTGATATTCTTATTCATTCTGGATTTCTTTCGCATCACAGTTTGTCTGTTTATTCTCTCTCCCTCTGCTCTGGATCTCTACCTACAATAGATGACAACAGACTTCTCACGAACCCTAACAACACGCAGTTCCTGGTCCTTCGGCGCCCACGCCAACCTGTGCCGCATCTACCAATCCCCCTAGTTTGTAAAGGCAAGCACCTCACCCCTGCAGCCACTGTGAAGTACCTCCGACTACTCATCGACGAGCATCTCACCTTCCAGCCGCAAGTCGAGAAGGTCTGCAGTGCGGTGTTCGGCAAGATTGCCGCCTTCAGACATGGCCGAAAAGACCTAACACCTGAAGCGAAGAGGACGACACGTTCTATTTATCCATTGTGCAATCGACTCTCGACTATGCCAGTAACGCTTATCTGCACTGTCTCACCGCCACCCTGTTCAATAAGATCGTGACGGTCAGTCACATAGCAATGAACAAGGTTTTTGGGTTTGACCGTATGATGTCTACTGAAATTGTTCTCCGCAAATATCATCTCTATTCTTTTGAACAGCGCATACATCTTAAACTCTATGCTTTCGTGTACCGCTGCTTGACCCCACATCTTGCTAGTCACCTTCTCCAATCCTTGTTCTAGCTTAGCCTTAGGGCTGCTGTGCCTGGACACCAGACTCGCACGCGCGGCCAGGCACAGCGTGCATTAGTTCTTCCGCCTGTTTCTACGCAATATGGCATGCGTTCTATTTCTTTCCTGGCGGCAGACAGATGGAATGCTCTTCCCACTGACTGCCGTCAGGCCCCGTCTCTTACTCCGTATGTAAATATGGTAAAAATTCACCTAGGGTTCCCAGTAAAAAGGCAACGCCTGTTGGGACTCCGCTAGTAAAATAACGAGAGAGCTTGGAAGCTCAGGGCCCTACGCTATGCCTTTTTTGCCTTGATGACCTAGACAAAAAAAGCATAGGGATGTTATAAATTCGTATAAATTTCTCCTTTTTTTAAAAGACATAACCTGGGATTCGAACCCGCACTATCGCCCTGCATGCATCCCCCGATACACTTCGCGCATATACTAATTCTTCCAAGTTACTTCACGTTATGATCTTGCATTTGAAAGCTGTATTTGAGTATGCATTGTGGCCAGCCGTTTTTGATGCTACGGTACGGGAAAGGTACGGGACAGGTACGTTCGAGGGTAAAACGACACCGTCTACCGCCTTGATGACGACAAAAAAAGCATAGGGGTGTTATAAGTTTTTCAATTCTCCTATTTTTTCAGGCATATCCTGGGATTCGAACCCGCACTATCGCCCTACATGCATTCCCGCGTACACTTCGCATTCATACCCATTCTTCCAAGTTGCTTCACGTTATCGCCATCCACTGCAAACTCTGCTTGCCCCACGCTCCAGCAGCCCTTCCAAATTGCGGCTGTCTACCGCCCACCGTCCACCGACCCGTCGGTGGTAGATAGCTTTTACGCCTCATTTCAAAGCTGCTTGACTATTAAATACGGACCCTGTCTCGCCAGTCCTCATCTTGGGAGGTTTCAATGCTAAATGTTCCACCTGGTATGGAACAACAACAGACACTGCAGGCCACCACCTTTCATGTCTTCTAGACATGTTTTCCTTGCAGCAACACTTCACATTCTCGACCCACCGCTCCGACAAAGGCAATGACGCTGCTCTGGACCTGATGATCACTGACACCGCAGCCAGCATCTGCGATCCGCGCCCCTCAGCCCCTCTCGGTCAGTCGGATCACTCAATTGTTGTCGGCCGTTTGTGCATCCCGACATGTACCGCATCACCACCTGCACCCAACACTACACTGCCCACCCATTCCTTCCAGATACCTGACTTCAGTCAGTTTGACATCTCCTCCATTCTTCCCACTCACCTAGTTGCTCTAAATGAATCCATTGCTAATGTGAACTGGCATGCTACTCTCCAGTTGAAGCTTGGAGATCCAAACCGTACTGCTCCAGCATTTTATGACATCCTTCATGGTCTATGCTCCGCTTTCCTACCCACCCGGTCGCGCTCTTCAGCCCCTAGACGACGTACACCAAGTCCCCCGTGGCTGACACGTCCTGTTGAAGCTCAGCTTAAGAGGAAGCGAGACTCGTACAGCTTGTATCGCAAGCATCCTACCCCTAGCAATCACGAGCATTACAAGCGCGAACGTAATAGAGCACGAATCCTATCTAGGGAGGCTCACCGCCAGTATGTGTCCTCCATTAGCACTAACCCCTTATCCATTATTGCATCCACCCCTATTTTGTTCGAGTTCGTTAAGCAGCTTCGTTCGCCGTCCCCTGTTGGAAACCCTATCATCACTGAACTCCATGAAAGTAACACAGTACACAACGACCCTACCCAGATTGCCAATGCTCTGAATCGCCAATTCATCAGCTTTGGATCACCGGATGATCCTGCATGGTCTCTTCCTGGTATTCCATACCACGGGCTCCCAGGACTACCCTCTTTTAGCACTACTCCCATCGCCATTGCCCAACACATCCGTCGCCTAAAGCCCAAGAAGGCGGCAGGTGCAGATGGCATTTCCCATGAACTCCTAAAAGCCCTGTCTCCTAGTATAGCTATCCCTCTCAGCCTAGTTTTCAACCAGTCCTTCGCCACCGGAATCTTCCCTGATGTCTGGAAGGCAGCTGTGGTTGTGCCTATTTACAAGAATAAAGGCAGTAAACTGTCTGCATCCAATTACCGGCCGATTTCTTTCCTTTCCACTATTTCACAGCTCTGTATCTCCCATCTACACCATGGTTGTCGAATACAAACTTCTCACTCTTATGTTCTTCCTTTGTTTGAGTACTGCTCTCTCGTTTGGTCCTCCGGTCTATCGTCCGTTCTTATGCATCGGTTAAACCCTATAGGATAGGGTTTATAGGGTTTATCGGGTGTTAGCGGCCGTCGTGAGTTCCCTTCGGGAATGGACACGATAATTTACTTTTTAAATTTTTTTTATGCATCGGTTAGAAGTCACCCACCGTAAATTACTTCGATTAATATTTCGCATGCCCCTCTGACCTCCTCTCAGACGCTATACATTTTGGCTTCCTCTTCCCCTCTCTCAGAACGCTTTACCCACTCGGCATGCAAATTCATTGACCGTATTAAGCTTCAACTTGCTCCTCCTCATGCACTTTCGCAATTAAGCTGGTTCAATAATAGCTCGCGTACTAGATGTTCTCTCCCTTTCCCACTTGCCAGATCATTGATCCTTTTAAAATCCCCTCTGTTCAAGTCCTATTCTCATTGGTCTCGGCTTCCGCAGGAGGTAAAGTCTCTTGACATCTTCGCTGCATTTTGTTCCATTCTGCACGCGCCTAAGTTGAATTGAATTCGTTGTTTTACATTGCTAGCCTAATCTTCATACTGCTCTCTCCAGGTTCCTTTAGTACTCCTTTTGTTTTTGTTTTGTTTTCTCTTTTTCTTCTTCTTCTTTTTCTCAGTTGTCCCCACCATGGCTGGTTAAAATCGCCCGCATCAAATGCTTATTGGCAGTATGTCGTGATTGTGGAATAATAATAATCATAATAATATGATCTTGCGTTTGAAAGCCCTATTTGAATATTGCGGCCAGCTGTATGTGGAGGTATATTATGCTCGGCAGGCCGCGAAAGAGAGCCCGTTACCTGGACCCCTACTCGCGCGGGTAGAGCGAGACTGAGCACCCTGGGATGCGAGCAGCTTTTTAGTACTCCCGGGTCCAAAATCTCACCACCAGGCCGGGATGATCAAAACGTCTGCCGGGTCTGCAGCCTACAAACGTGGATCTGCCGACACTGTGCTGTCGACGACATGTCCGGCAAGGCACCTCCTTGCGTGAAAGCAAGGAACGCTTTTTTTTTAGAAAGGAAGCTTCTTCTCCAAAATTTAAAATTTTTGAAAATTATTCCTTCTGAAAATATCATCGCGTTCTTGACCTCGAAGCTGACTGCTGAATGCGATTAGGAAAGAACATTCCTGAAGATACACCAGACTGATTCTGGCAAGCCGTCTGTCGTCTAGATATGCAGTTGTTCGTCATGCATGGTCAGCAATCTTCCTCGTTCGTCCTTTCGTTTTCCTGACCACGATGATGACAAGCAGCTCTCATGCTCAGGTTAGTGCTGTACTTGTATGTCTGGGCACACAACACATCTGAGATTAACCCACTGACGTTATCGAACTGAAGAATGCAGCAAGGGTTCCTCGGATTCTCTTGATTTCGGAACAAATTTCCTTCACTTTCACCCTCTCAGTCTCTTCCCCATGCCCTCCATGCATGCACAATGCAGCTTGCATTTCAATTGCTGTTTTTTATACTTTGGCAGTGCCTCTGCTACACTTTCATATAGAGTGAGGTCCTGTAAATAGGATCGAACATTGTTGGTGGTGGTGTGTGTGTGGGGGGGGGGGGTACGTTTGCAGCCAGGATGTAGGAATGACACTTCTGCACAGCAGGTGGCAATAGTCAAAACTGGTCACTCTACAAATCCCATACCTGCCAACCTTTGCAAACCTGAGATCCAATGACATACCTAGGCATGAAAATGTATACAAAAGAAGCTCGCGGTGAGGCATGGAACTAGTGCACTTTTGGGTGCCTATTACCGCCCTCGATATCGGGACGGTCCCGGCCAAATCGGGATGGTTGTCAGGTATGAAATCCCAACCGAGAAAACCATTTAATTAAAAGATAAACTCGGCCAGGACATAGCGACTTTCTGTTTGCCGGGGGGGGGGGAGGGTCATCGTTCGCAATATTGGTAGAGTTACGGTTACATTGTATATGTAGATACATGTGCATCAGGGATTCATAGCACCTGGGGAGACGACATGAGACCTAAGTACCCAAAACGTTGTGAGTTGTGACCCCGGATGGGGTAGTTCTACGTGATCTGTGTTTCTATAGACCTTATTCGATAACGTGATTTTTGGACTCGCCTCCAGGGATTTGTTGTAAGCTGGGGCACGCGTACGTGAAACGAGTGGCAAGAAAGGCCCAGTTCGTACAAGGGAGTAGTAAAATACCGGTATTTTTCTACTCCTATGTTCCCACGCCGAGTCCACTGTGCACTGAGTGCAGGTCTCTTGCCGCTCCCTGGTTCCCGGGACCCTGGTTCACGTGATTGTGACGTTTATTGAATAAGGTCTACATGTATATGCGGGCATGCATAAATCAACCCTTCCACAAGGACGGCTCAAACAGGCAGCCAAGGAGTGAAAATTTCGCTCCTGGGGCTAGGAGTGAAACGAAGGCCTCAATTTGCCAGATGAACCTTCTCCATCGAAACGAACGAAGGTGTCGAATAATTCTTTTACCAGTTCACAGTTGCCGTTCACGCGCACTCCCCGGGGTGGGGGGCTACTATGCACTTGTAGTGATACTTACCGTAAGCCAAGTGGAACACGACTAGTTGACTGCACAGACTACAGTACAGTATACATGCACATGTATACAGTGAAGATCAGTGCGTGCATGCCTGCCATAATCGTATGTTGACCTTCGTTCGAATTGAAAAGAGAGGGTCGTTTCGAAAAAGAAAAAAAGCTCGATGGAAGTATGATGCTGCTGACAATTCAAGACTCACTGAAGTCGCCTTTCTGGAATGGATCATGCACTCTAGGTTCATCCAATTGGATATGGACTCAAATCATTGTTACACCATTATTGTTTGGTTAGTTATTGTACATCCCATAGCATGTACAATCAACCTTGTGAATAATCTACCTCGGGTTTACAAAACAACTCGCAAATAACGACACAATCTTCAGATCTAGTGAACATTTGATTGCATACTTCCAACCTCACGAGTAACAACAATGCGAATAGCGACACTTTTCTCATTCACAATCGAGGGTCAGTATTCCCCAGGTTGACTGCAATTGCCAATCAAACAGGAGGGGCGAAAGTCGACCACGGCTGAAAAGGCATAAAGAAAAATTAATGTATATCATGAGCTAGATGGCTGAAGGAGGAAGTAGGTTTTCTGAGAAAGCAAGAAACAGAGGTGAATGAAGCACCAGGTCTGTCCATGCAGTGGATAGAATTATTGCATTGAAAGACAGGCTCTTTACATCAGCTTGCTACTATTATACCTACATTTGCTTTCTGCCTTTTTCATGCAGGATTCTGAAAGCTGGAGCAGCTCTGCTTACCTCGACCACTGAACTTACAACTAACTTCCAACCAAGTACAAGGCAATATTATGATGAATCAAGCACGCTTGCCATCATGTCATCATTGCAAAGTACATCGACAACATAGATTTGGTGCCGACTATGTATGATGTAGAGTGTGCTCTATGTATCTATACTACTGATTGGCCTACATTGTACTTATGTGGGCTGAGAGTAATCGATTGTGCTATATGGCAGTTTACTTGTATGTCATAGATGTTAACATTGCACACAGCTTCTGAAATGCTTTCTGTTGCACTGGCCTACTGCGGCCCACTGCAAATAGATTGTAGTGGCATGGGCCATGCCATAATTATAGTAGTATACCGGTACTACACCAACAATTTCACTGGTGCACTGTACTTACTGGTACAAGTAGATCTACATCATGCACAGCCTTGTCACTGCTTTTCTCATTTTTTATTAATTTACTGTACTGTACACATTTTGGCACAGCTCTTCCACAAAGAGTTACTAGTATTTTCTTCTGCATACCTACTGTATACAGTGACCTGACTGGTAACATCTATGGCTGTGAAATCACAAATTTCTGGGTTGACAGCCTCGAACCTATACGATTTGTTTCTAAGAACGTGCTATAAGAAATTTTCTATTGAAGTATTCTACTGTAGCTCGCAGGACATGGAGTGCAATTACGTAAAGTTTGGAACACCACTCTTCTGTGATTTGGATGTCAAATTATGAAATTCAGTGTGTGAGGTAAACCCATGCATGGCATACACTGCTATAGTATGACTCGGGGTAAAGTGTTCCAACGCATACTCATTATAGTGAATAGTTGTGTGACCAACGTTGTTGCTGCTGGATAAATAGTACATATTCTGAGATAACTGAAGCTACACAGCCATCTAATGTTCAGACATGCATCGAAGGGGCCGTAACGAGATCTGCAAGGCATGATTCTATACCTGTATTTGATGCTCTCTAGCCTAGGACATTCACCTGCCTCATTTTCTCTGTGCTGCATTGATGAGTCCATTAGTAACTAAAGGACGAAACAGCATGCTGTCTGCAGATTGGTAATTGTGTAAAGACAGACGTGTATGTAGTGGTAAAGCTCAGATACATGTGCAACATAACAATCCCGGTGTTTGACAACAGCACAAACCTACACCGCAATTCTTAATTTTGGGCTGTGGTGTTCTTAGTATTCCAGGTTGGATGTTCTGTAGGCTTCCACGTTCCTGGGCGCACGACTTTACTGTGCCGAAGAATATTTTCAGCCAATGAACCCAGAGCTTGGTGGCAGATGAGTGCCATGGAACAGCCTTTTGCATGTGGCTTTCACTACATGCACATGTATAACGTTCAATTGATGCGGAAAAATCAGACGAGGACTTTTGCAGTTATGAGCAAGGTCCCCACGAATGGTCATGTCACTTCACAGAATACATGAACTGATAGAGTAGACCTCGGTCCCCTCAGAGAACGCTTGGGGAAGTCGGGTTCAACCATAGATTTATACTTAACAGAGAACGCTTGGGGAAGTAGGTTTCAACCATAGATTTATACTTAATATTCTTTACAACAAGGATCGATGTGTTCCTTCGGATGCCCTTTATCGACTTTCACACACTTCTCCTCTCTCCTTTCGTCATAAGCACCATCTCTGTACACTGGTTCATAAAATATTTCTTCATAAAACCCCTTCACACATAATGAAGTACAATTGGTTTTCGACAAGCTCAACCCGTAACGCGCTTATCCTGCCTCTTGTTAAGTCAGCCCGGTATCTAAAGCCCCCCTTGTTTTCCGGTTATTCTCATTGGTTAACTGGGGACATGTCCAAAACCATACTAAGTACTTGAGCTGCTCATGAGCCCCACAATTATCAGGCCCGCCGGTCTGGTTGGTCAGGTTATCACCAGACCAACTTGTTGGCCACCAACAAACGTTTCCTACCGTGGAGCACGTGTGTACCCGCCATGAAACTACCGGACCAATCAAAAACTGCTTCCGGCGGTACTGATTATAGTACAGGTTTAAGTTAAAAAGCGGCTCCATTTTGTCATACATTAAACCAACTCTGTCATTGCTATGCTACTCAAAAAGAGTAGTGATGTTTATTCACAAATGAATCACAATGCTATCAGAGAAATTCGATATTCTCCAATTTTAGGGGCACTGCAATACTATCCAAAATTAATGCTGCATGGTCATTGTTATGAAGCAGTCACCTCAGTACAGCAATTAAACAGGCTGATTATGTGAACGAGATTCACGGCAAATCTTCTTCCATCAGTGCTGTTCAGTCTTGAGTGGTCCACTGAGACAGGAAAACAACCTGTTCGGTCCTTCCATACGAGAAACAGAAATTGAACATGTTCCAGGGTGGAGGTGGCGAGTATCGGCAATGTAATGCACCTTTAGGCCAACATGACCATCATTCCGACATGGATTTTCAAACACCTTCGCTCGTGAGAGTGCCTCAGAGTGGTATTCATCAACAGATGGCAATCCTGTAAAACACATGAAAAGACATAGCAGCAACAGAAAGAAACCTAATGTTATAGAAACGAATTCGAAAAACAAAGTCTACTATTATTCTAATACAGTGAACCAAGGTACAACCACACTCCAGGAGGCAAGCAAAAGAGCATATAATCCGAAGGTTGCGATGCCTGTATGTATTGTATTTATGTATTTACGGATTCTCCACAGGCTAAATCGAGGGAGTCTTTGTCATGCCACACTGGATACAACATGCTACCAGAATCACTTTCCCCAGAATTGATGATCTTTTCTTAGGGTGTTATATAAGACACATCTGTAGCCACTTCATCTTGCTCACGAAATCATACACCACCACACAAACGGGTCCTTCGGCTATTATACTTTGGGTGGTACATGGTGATGTATGATATTGATAATCTATTGATACCATATTCAAGTCTGACTCTCACCGTGAGATCCTGGCAACAATATTACCTGGTACACGACATATTCAGACACTGACATAAGCATCTTTTTGGAACAACAGGTGTGCCTATCTGCTAGTGTAATGTGACACACATGCAGAACACATGCAGAATCAGTCATAGCTAATTTTACCCCCTCACTGTTGTATGCGCAGACTCCACTTCGCGGTGTCAAGTACTCTTCTTTCGGTGGGCTACTCCACTAAGGCGCTTGTCTAAAAGGACTCACATTCATCCTGCAAACCAACACGACTTGCATAGTTTTCACTGTCGGCCAAAGTGCGTGCATTGCACACATTGAGATTCACTCCCTCCGTACAGGCCAGTACAGAGCTGCCCACCAATTGAGTCTGTTTTGCGTACTCAGACTTCTGATTTTCCGTATCTTGCAGTGTTTTGCGTACTGCCGTGTACATTGCATGCATACTTGCACTGTAATGTTTTTTGACACGCACATGCATGTCGGTGGCTGCATTTGGTAGTGTAAAACATGTGTGACTTGCACTCACGACATTATTATTTTTGTGCTACATGTACATGTTGTTGTGGTACGGCATGCACTCGCTTTGGTACAAGACTATTCATCACTCAGCTTACACTTGCAATGCTTCTACACAGCTGATTGATCCTCTCCGATTTTCTATACCATTTGCTCAATTTCTGTAGTGCGCACAAGGAGTGATTTTCCGTACAAATACAGAAAATATGGAGGGCTGGTACTTGGTAGCACTGCTAGTATGGTAGTACCAGGCTAAGCTGGCTGGAAGATCAAATACTTCTTTGGTTCTTTCAGTCATTTTCACGACATATGTTTTCTTTATCATGATCCCCGGGGTGTGACATTCTTATGAATGCAGAAACTCAGTCTTTCTAACCGAGTCTCACGTGCAATGTGAATTTGTTCTTCTTTTCTTCACAATGCCATGTATCGATTCATCGCTTCTTCCCACCCGAGATCCTATGCAACAGCGATTTAAAGATTGGCTTTATCAAATGCAGGCAGGCATAGTGGGATGGTCTAAGACCATGATTGAGAAACAGAGGGTACCAGGTTCAAGTCCTGCTTGGAAGCGGAAGGATTTTTTCCAGCCGTGCTGCGACCCACAGTTAATTGGGAACTCGTGGCCTGGCACGAGGGAAACATGGATGCAGTGAATGGGATTTCGGTCTTTGACCACTTTGTGGTGGGTCTGATCTACTCACCTCCCACCGTTTAGGAGCTGCATCTGCGCCTTGATCCAAGAGGGTGGTGGCGTTCCTGCGGATGCGGAAAACTGGGCCTTTGGCCGAGTCTCACGCGAACCGTGAAATTTTTTTTATTTTTTTTTATTTTTTTATCAAATAGTTAATTCAGAGAGAGAGGATCAGTTGTGGATGCTGTGACAGCATAGAGTGTAGATTGGTGTAAACATCATTGCCCAGCAGAACCGTATTCACAGGGATCTGCGTTTAGCATATGGAAGCTATTTTTTTAGAATTTGTACACGTCCAATAAGCCTGAAGAGAAGAACACCTAACTTAGACTGTCCTAACGTTATCGAACGCACTGCCAAAGTAAAAACAACATTTGAAATGCAAACTCGATTGTGCATGCATGGAGGGCATGGAGGGTGAAAGTGAAGGAAATTTGTTCCGAAATCAAGAGAATCCGAGGAACCCTTGCTGCATTCTTCAGTTCGATAACGTCAGTGGGTGAATCTCAGATGTGTTGTGTGCCCAGACATACAAGTACAGCACTAACCTGAGCATGAGAGCTGCTTGTCATCATCGTGGTCAGGAAAACGAAAGGACGAACGAGGAAGATTGCTGACCATGCATGACGAACAACTGCATATCTAGACGACAGACGGCTTGCCAGAATCAGTCTGGTGTATCTTCAGGAATCTTCTTTCCTAATCGCATTCAGCAGTCAGCTTCGAGGTCAAGAACGCGATGATATTTTCAGAAGGAATAATTTTCAAAAATTTTAAATTTTGGAGAAGAAGCTTCCTTTCTAAAAAAAAAGCGTTCCTTGCTTTCACGCAAGGAGGTGCCTTGCCGGACATGTCGTCGACAGCACAGTGTCGGCAGATCCACGTTTGTAGGCTGCAGACCCGGCAGACGTTTTGATCATCCCGGCCTGGTGGTGAGATTTTGGACCCGGGAGTACTAAAAAGCTGCTCGCATCCCAGGGTGCTCAGTCTCGCTCAACCCGCGCGAGTAGGGGTCCAGGTAACGGGCTCTCTTTCGCGGCCTGCCGAGCATAATATACCTCGTATGTGGCCAGCTGTGTTTGATGGTACGGTACGGGACAGATACGGGATACCGCCAGGCGTGACACAAACGCACAAACGCACAAACAAATTAATACCAAACGAGAGAGCTTGGAAGTTCAGGGCCCTACGCTATGCTTTTATGCTTTTTTGCGTAGCTCATCGCACATGTTATAAGAACCAATGGAAATGTTTTTTTTCCGTTGTTTGGCCACATCATTTTATTGCAAAAACGTTTCAATCAGTTTGAATATTATGAGTTAGGCAAAAGTATTTGCAGAATTTATTGCGGATTATCATTTATATTTATTATTATTACTCAATCTGCGGACAGCATGCTGTTTCGTTCTTTGTGAACTCATCAGCGCAGCACAGAGGAAATGAGGCCGAACCTGATAGCAATGGAAATAAAAATTTCCAATCAGGCCCGAACGTACCTTGTCAGAGTGCTCAAACTGACAAGTCAGTGAGCTCTGCGTAATGC